TTTTAGCATTATGGGGGCGAGGGACTGTCGCTGCCCCCTTCCACGGGCACAAATAAGTATCGAGTGCCAACGGTGGGATTTGGCGGGCGAGCGCCCGCAGGCGATGCGGCGGTGACCCGAGAGTGGGAAAGTTAATGTTTTCATGAGTCTAAACAAGGCGGCGTTATCTCCGCTGTCTTGCTGCCGTGTGAAGGTTTTGCCTGTTGTTGTAGGAATTAAAGTAAGCTTTGCAGTAACGTTCCCATCCCAAAGCGTCGGTCTGGTTGGTGCCGAGCGTTTTGTAAAGTTTGGGTTAGCTGATTTTTCTTTAGCCGCAAAATGCGGAGGGTCCTCTTCACCCAAATTTTGATTTATGGGATTTTTTTTTTTTTTTTCGTGTCTGCACGATTAAAGAGAATAAGGTGGAAGCCTGAGGGCTGTTCTCTGGTCCCTACTGACCTGCTGGTGAGGAGAAGCTGGCCCTGGTCCATCATCCTGCTTTGCTGTCGTTGCCCACCTCTCTTGGAAATCCTCCCTCTCACAGCCCTTGTCATCAGGGGTGTCCTGCAGGACTGTCCTTGATCCTCTTCTCCCTCTTGCTCTGAGCACAACCCCTCGGAATAAAATCCAGCTCCCATCTCTCCTTGGGATGTGGAGACTCCTCTGGGCTTGGCGTTTTCTTGTCACAGGTGCCGTTCTGGCTCCTCTCTAGGTCCTCGGTGAAAGCGACGGTCACTTTTGTTTGACTTGAACAAACTCCAGAAAGCTAAGGCACTTCAGAAGGACTGGGAAATAGCTGATGCTGTAACAGTATTTTAAAAGGTTAACAGAAAAATCTTATAAAACGAATGACGTGGTTTCAATGTTTGATTTTTTTCAGTGTTTGATTGTGGTTTCAAGTGTTTGATTGACAAACGCCTGCTGATATTAGGGTTTTCAGGAATTTCCTCGGTCTTGCACAAAATATTAGTCCTAAACAACTGATGAGCCTAAACGTGGCTCCTTGTTCCCTGCCTGTACCTCAGGGCAGGTCCTTGCTTTGCCTGGCTGCTCGCCGGGAGCATGGAGCCTTTGTGCCAGCGCAACTCCCCCGTGTTTATCGTCCTCCAGCCCCTGCTGGCTTGTGGAGCCGAGGCTCTTCCCTGGACTCCTGCCGCTTCTCCATGGCTGACATTCGGCTTTTCAGCTCCTGGCCAAGGCAGCTGAGCTTCCAGAGACGCTGCTTTGGTGCTGCCCCTTCCTTCTCCCTCGCACTCCTCTGTTGTTCCTTCCCTCCTTCCCAAGCTTGTCAAAAGAAGTTGAATTGTTCCCCGTTGCAGGGCCCTTGACCCTCTGGGCTGTGGGCTCCTGCCCCCGAGCCCTTAGTACCAGCCCAGACTTTTTCTTTTATTTTGGTAGAAGCGCTTTCAAGGCTTTCCCTGCACAGCCCTCACGAGGATCCCTTCTCAACACCCCTCCTGTTTGTCCAAGTTCCTCCCTAAGCATCTTATCTGAGGTCCCAGCTAAAACAACCCTCGGCAGCAACCGTGGTGCAGCTGTCCCCTGACCCCTGATTATTTGGTTACTTCCCGCTTACGTGGGTTTTTTTTCCTGCTCTTCCCTTCATGGAACACTTCATTCTCTGCCCCGAGGACACTGCAGTTCTCACGCAGCAAGAAATCGTGGTCCCGAGAAGAAGAGTTCAGTGGTACAATGGCGAGTACAGTTTGCTTTTGGGTTTCTTTCCCAGATTTTAAATATTTTAACTCTAAAGCTTCGAAGAATGCATAAAAGCTGCTTCTTCCAGGGAGCTCCTTGTGAAGGATGGATGTGATGGGGTCAGGGGCAGTATCTCGGTGCTCTGTCTGGGTGAAGATTAAGGCGCCTGCCTTTAATCAGGGGGAAAATTGCCTTCGTATCTCTTAGATGTGCATCTCTGTTATGTGTGAAACCCTGGAGTAGGACAGTTCCTGCCCGGTGTCTCTCCAGCGATGCTGGCCTTGGGCTGAGGGCAGTTTCTTGCAGGACATAGAAAATGTCAAGTGTGGGGAAAAGAGATTGGCCTTTTTATTCTTCTGTAAATCAGAGTAAGTAGGTGTTGGGCTGGCGTGCAGGGCAGTTGGTGCCTCTGCCTCGGGCTGCGAAGGGATTTTGTCTGAGCTTTGGGGGTCTTCTGGGTGCTTCGGCACTGGGGGGTGGTCGGTCCCTCTCCCCCTGCACGGAAACATTTTGCTTTGGGGGTTTCCCAGCATCTTCATCTTACCACATCTCGATGTTTTTTTTCTGCACTTTGCTGTTAGATATTTATTTCAGCTGATGTGAAAAATACAGTTTAACCAAGCTACTTGGAGAAAGAATTTGGTCCTTTTAGGAGAAGGGGGGGGAAAAAAAAAAAAGTGCTGGTATTTAAATACGTTGTTGTTGTCGTGGGCATCTCCCTTCCCAGGTCAAGGCTTATCCTCAGCATGAGCCGGTCACGGCTGCGCTTGTTGACCAAGAGCTTCACAACATAAATGTTGCTGCAGAGTAATGCTGCGATAGCTTTACCCCTGGGAAGTTTTTGATCCAGAGCTTGCTCGTGGGAAAGTCTTGTTGGTGTGTCCACATGAGCGGCTCTTAAACGGGAGTTAAACTGGACATGTCGCGCGCCGGCCGCCCAGAGAGGTCGGTCCGTGGAGCTGGTGGCCATCCTGGAGCTAAATAAAAAGCTGCGGTGGGCTCAGTTATAAAATTTCCTGTTTCTTGTCTGTATTTCCTCTCTGGTTTAAGCCAAGACACTCTAGGAGTAATTAAGAAGCTGTTCACCCATCAGATACGGCCCGTTGCATAACCTGGTCAAAACCACTTGCACAAAGTTCATTTTGGGCCCAAAGGCGCTCGATTTTCTTCGTGCAGCCGGTCCGTAGCCCAGGTATTGGTCTAGGATGGATTTTTCCATCTGTGTGATTTGGATGAATCTTGATTTATAGATACTATAAATTGTAAATTGAGGAGCTAAATTAATTCTGCCTTGCCTGAGGTCTGCGTTCAGCCCTGTGGAAACGGTGGCGGAGGGGATGGTGTGAGCTGTGCTCCATGTGTTTGCTGTGTTGTCTTGAACTCAGCTCCGGGTTTTTCTGCTGTGTTTGACTGCTGTGAGTATGTTGAATCGTTTAAATCAAAGGTTTGTGTATCTTCAAGATCCGTTTTGTGTTCTGTCATAAGATCTGCTATCGGTGCTATCTCTGCTGGTGGATAACGTCGCCGGGATAGAAAGAACACCCAGCGAGCAACGGGGGAATTAGCAGTGGAGTTCTGGGTTTTAATTAAACTGCAGAAAACCCATTTTGGTGGGATGGTGATCTGATAGATTATTGAGGCTGATGTTTGGGGGAAAGCTGCCTCCAAATCGTTTTGGGAAGCCAGGCGAGCGCGGCACGGCTCTGGTTGGATTTCCAGCCCTCCGGGCAGAGCAGAGAGCTCCTCGTTCCGCTTCTCGCTCCAACAAACCAGCCCCGATCTGCCGTGTAAGCACGTTTAGAGTGAAGGTTGTAAATAACAGTTTCTGGTAATGAATCCTTGGGCTTGTGTTTGTTGCTAGAAAAGCTTATCCTGGGACATGGGAGTCGAGGCTTGCCGACATGGCAGCTGCCAGAGCGGTGTTGGAGTAGCGTGGTGGGAAGGATTGAAAAATGTTGGGTTTTTTTTCAGCAAAAAAAATAGCTGGAAAATAGATGAGGAGCTGGGTTAGAGGTGAGTGCTGGTGGAGGCAGCGGCTGTGGGTCTCACACCTTTGCCCCTGTGCAGGGGGATGGCTGTCACCACCGCTCAGTGGTGACGCTTGGCAGGTGCCAGCAGGCAGCGAGCAGAATTGGTGCCGCTTGTAGGGGACTCGTGGAGGCTTCAGGGTGTGTCAACCTGTTGAGGATTTGACAGTCAACCCAAACTAAGCCTATGCACGTGTCCTCAGCTTTGCTCTCCTGAAGAAGCTGTGGAAGATGTTCATTCTGAACAATTTAGCACCTTGCTGAATTATCCCTCGGTACCAGTAGGTCAGCGTAGAGCTCACAGTGTTCCTGGTGGGAGCTTTTAAAGGGAACTCCTGTGCTGGGTGGGGGCTAGACTGGCGTCTGTGTGCTTGGTGCTGGTTCCTCCTCTGGGATTGAGCCCTTCGGCAGGAAAAACGAGAGTTGAGCACGAAGAGGAGTCCTGCAAAGCACCGATGGTTCGTGCCCGGCTTCCCGTATGCGAGCATGCCGTGTCCTTCGTGAGCAGGGTGTTCTCTGCCACGTAATAAGGCATTTGAATAATTGCGTTTCGATGCGCTAAAAATGAACTTATTTCTGTGGCTGCGATCCTACTTTGATGGACTCCTCGCCCAAAGTCTGTTGGTGGCCGCTGACCCTCTTCTTTGCATCAGAGAGGAACGTTGGAAAAGAGGCAGGCAATAAAAGTTAACGATTAATTTCTATTAAAAACATGTGAATTTATCATTACCCAGAAAATACTCATGTAGTGGCTTTTCCTTAGGCGCAGTCTAAGGCGCAAATGAATTTTGCGAAAATCCTGGCTTTATTTCTGGTTGATTTTTGAGCAGGAGGACAGCGTGGAGCTGCTGGAGGTTGAGTCGCTGCGGTGAGTGGTTTAGGGTTTTTCTGTGGCAGGTGGTGAGTGCGGGAGTGGTGCCGGTGAGGGGTAAATTTCCCCCCGAGGGCTTTGGACCAGGGGTGATGCTGAGAGCTTCCCAACAGGAAACCCAGAGGCCAGGAGAGCCACGAGGTGTGGCCACGCTGCGGGAAGAGGCTCTGCCGAGGTAGGGACAACTGGAAAATGAAGTGGGATAGAGAATTAAAAGGCTTTTTAGATCAAAACCTCTGATTATTAATGCAGCTGGGGTACAGCTGGAGGGTGGGTAACGCAGGAAAGGTGGGAGCCTGACAGAGCTCACGGGCACGTGAAACAAAACCCTCTATTGTCACCGTTCCTATATTTAAATCCTCGTGTTGTGTCGTTAAATTAAGTGAAGAAGCTAATTAGCATGTGGATGAGCTTACTGTGCTGCAAGCGCTGTTAGTGGCTGACTGACGAAGAGGTTTGATGAAATAATTAAATTTGAAGCCGAATATAAGGAATATCAGAGGCGCGTTTGGTGCGGACGCGTTCGGAGCGCGGCTGGGGGTGGGAGGGCTGGGTGCGAGGGTCGATGCCGGCTCAGCGGACACAGGAGAGGTGCTTTTTTCGAGAAACCCATCCCTGGAGGAGAAGGGACGGGGACCCGGGGTCCTTTGTGTGCCGCACAAAAGCTGGTGCCTGGCTGGTGTTAAATCGCACGTCGGGAAGGGCCGTCCAGGCAGCTGCGTCCGAGGAGCCGCCAGCGCTTCTGAAATGTGTTAAGAAACGTGGGTTTATTCGTGGGAGGCGTCTAAAGGGATGTGGAGAAGGTCTCTCCCTTCTGTAGTCAGTGCCCTCCAGACAGGTATGGACCTAGAAAAACCTCCCTGATAAAGCTGCGAATCTTAGAGACCATTTTAAGCCATTACAGCTTAAAAAAAAAAAGGGAGATTTGATGGTGATTCTTAGAAAATATGAGTAAGTGGCCTCTAAATGATTAAACAGGAGGTTTCACTGAGTCAGGAACCAAACGGGGTGATGCTGGAGATTTGGAGTCCAGACCAGACACGTGCTGGAGCGGGCGGGTTTTTGCCCCTGCAGAAATTTGTGCATTTTGTGTTTGACCTCTTAGGCAGGCGATGCTGATCCGTTGCGGCTCTGCGGGTAGGGTGGAAATAGCACAGGTCAGCAGCTTTCTGTGTCCTTTCTGAGCCCAAGTCAGAGTTTAGGCTTGACTTTACCAAACAAGCAGGTTTTGGGAAGATCTGGAAATGATTTGTAAATTGACCATTTCCTCTCCAGTCCCCAGTTTTGACCATTGAACTTGCCCTTGGATGTTGACAGAAATGCTGGGAAAAAAAACCCCAAAACAAAACAACAAAAAACACCCCAGGAATTTAAATGTTGTTCCTGAAATGCGGCTGGTGTGACTGCTTCTACTCGATGATGAATCTGAATTTTCTTTTTGTCTTTAGCTGCCTTTCCTCATCGACTGAACCTTTTTTACTTGGCCAATGACGTCATACAGAACTGCAAGAGAAAAAACGCAATTGTCTTTCGTGATACGTTTGCAGAAGTGCTTCCTGAAGCTGCTTCATTAGTGAAGTAAGTAATGATTTGCGTTGGAAAGGTTGAGTGTCTCAAGAAATGTCAATTTTTCTCTTAACGTCTCAAAGTCCCTCAGCAAAATTTTGAGGAAAATTTTTGAAATTTTCAAAATTTTTGAAGAAAATTTTGAGGAAAACTCTGTGAGTTTGAGCTTCTCTACACGGAGTATGCTAGAACGGGCGTCGAGCTGCCTTTTAATTTGCACTGGAGTCTCGTTTGAGTAAAAGGATCACGTGGAGTGCTGCGAGGGGGCAGTCTTGCACCAGTACGTGTGTGCCCTGGGGCTCTGCCCTCCCCTTGTCTGCAGGCACCTGTGGCTTGTGTTGCTGCTGCTGGGGGGGGACGGTGGCAGACTCAGGGGAGCCCTCGCAGCGAGGAGGGGTGCAACAAGACAGGGAAGAAGAGGAGGAGGAAGTCTTTGTGGTCTCCACCAAGAGAACGAGCGTCGCAGATGCCGCTCTAACCCCTGCCTGGCTTCTGCGAGCTGCTCCCGCGCTGCCGTACCCATCTGCTCAAACGTTATTTCAAAGCCACGCGTCCTCGAAGGTGGTTTTGTGCTCTGCTGGAAATCAGAGACTTTAATTTATTCGAGTTAACGTGGGACGAAAAGATCTCGTGCTGGCCCGGGTCCAAACGGGGCGAGCCCCATCCCATCGGTACCGCTCTCCGTTTTGGTTTTGGAATCTTCCTCAAACCAGATGGTCTCTAAGGGCCAGGACGTAGTAAAAATACAAAGCAGCTCCGGAGCAGTAACGTGACGTTGCTGGTTTGTCTTTGGATCAGAGTTTGAAGCGGCAGATGGTTGAAGGTAGCACGAGGCAGGGAAAAGGTTAAAGTTGGACTGCTCATCAGCTTATATTTAAATGTAAGCTGCCAGAAGAGAAGGTTGAAAATACCATTAATAGATGGCAACAGTGAGGAGGAGGGAGAAAAAAATCTGAGGTTATCAGCTACGAAGTGAAAGAGAGCAGGAAAAGCTACAGTTACCAATCCTTCGATAACCCCGACAGGTTTTATCAAGCCCAGTCCTATTCCAGATGTTGCTACAGAAATAATTATATGGATAAAAGTTCTGTGAATTTGCTGCTTCTGTCCCTCAGAGTTTGTGTACCCCAGGGCTGTGACTTGGCTGCCCTTTATGGACATGATGGAAGATTGCTGTCTCTTCCCTGTGCACCTCGCTGGCCCCGAGAGGTGCTGTCGTTCTGTCTGTCCCTCTGCAAAGCTTTGCATGGCCAGGGACAGCCGTGTCACTCCCTGGCAGAGTCTCAGTGACCCACCTTCTTCTTGTTGGTTTAAAAATCAGAAAAAGCGGTGAGAAAAATGCATTGCTCTTTCTTGGGACGCAACCGGAATGTGATTGCAGCAGGGCTCAAAGTCATCATCATCATCAAATCATCACAGAGCGGTTTGGGTTGGGAGGGACCTTACAGCCCACCCAGTGCCACCCCCTGCCCCGGGCAGGGCCACCTTCCCCCAGCCCAGGTTGCCCAAAGCCCCGTCCAACGCGGCCTTGAACCCTGCCAGGGAGGGGGCAGCCCCAGCTTCTCTGGGCAGCCTGTGCTGGGGAGAATTTCTGCCTTAGATCTCACCTGAATCTCCCCTCTCTCAGGTTAAACCCCTTCCCCCTCGTCCTATCCCCCCCCCTTTCCTGCAGCCCCTTTCAGCCCTGGGGGGCCGCTCTAAGGTCTCCCCGGAGCCTTCTCTCCTCCAGCTGAACCCCCCAACTCTCCCAGCCTGTCCTCACAGGGGGGCTCCAGCCCCCCCAGCATCTCCGTGGCCTCCTCTGGCCCCGCT